CGAAGGTCCCTGGCGCTGCCTGAGGCTCTCTCTGAAGGAATCAGCCTGTGTTCCGGCAGAAGACCCATCAAGCACTAACAGTGTACATCTTTGAGGGGTCCCTCTGGGCTCCTGCCCCAACACCCTGTGGTTCCACAGGAGGCCTCTCCCAGCACTATCTGTCTGGGGTTCTATTTAAAGTCTTTTCAAGATCTGAAGTCCCAAGATTCTATAATATGTGCTAAGTAGACCTCCTGCCCCAAGCACAGAAGAGAAAGTTCTGGGGAGGGCCTGGACTGTCAGAGCGTTGTCCTTCCAGAGGTTGGCCCTGCTGAGAAATAGGCATTCAGCAGGTCCTGCAGCAAGGACTCTTGGGTTCCTTGTGCCCATTACGCAACCATCCAGACTAAATGAGTGGTGCCCAAAATGGGGGGCATACAGTTCCAGGCCAAAATCCCCTTCTTCTGGCCTTGAAAACTTCACTCATGCAGACTGGGGAAGGGGCTGCCTCGTTCCTCAGCCAACCGTAATGTGGGAGAATTAGATCTCAAGGGGAATGACCAGCCAGGACCTTGAGGGTCCAGACGTGCTTCCTCCTGAGTCTGCAGTGACTCCAGGCTTTCCTTCCAGTGCTCTTAGAAGGATCATTTAGAGTACACTTACTGTGTGCCGAGTACCATGCTTAACACTACCTGTGTTAGCTTATTTTGTCTTCACACCAACCCCACCGGTATGTATCATCGCTAGTCCCCTTTTATAGATAAGCAACCTGAGCTTAAAGAGGTGAAATTACATGCTTGGAATTTATAAACGACAGCTGAATTTGATCTCATGTTTTTTTTTGTTTGTTTTTTGTTTTGGTATGTGCCCCTAGCGGAAACTGAACCCAGGACTCTCTGGTCTGCAGGCCGACGCTCCAACTGCTGAGCCAAAACGGCCAGGGCTGATCTCATGTTCTTAAGCAGAGTGCTTGGTGGGAGACCTTTGGAGTTAGGCAGCATCTTCTTTGGTCTTATAACTTGGGCAAGCATGTGGAAAGGTCATGGTGAGGCCCCAGGTTGGTTAGGTCAGTGCTTATGGGGAAGAAGTTAGGACCAGAGAGAAACATGGTTGTTGGAGTGAAGGACAAAGCAGGCAAAGTCAGGTACAAGGGACGTGGCCAGGTCTGTCAGTAAGGGTCTACTGAACCCAACCAGGAGTGTGGTCATTAGCATCAGAGAAGTCTGCCCACCCCTACCCAGCAGGAGCCCTACACCAGGTAGGGGATGACCAAGGGAGCAGGAGACCACTTGAAAAGGCCTTTGTCCTGGTCATTTGTTTTGTTTGTTGTCACATCTGTTCCCTACCTTTCTCTGTTCTGCTCAGTATTTTAGAGGGCAAATGGTACACCCCAGACTCCTGACAGCTGGCGTCTGACTAGGTTTACCCAATGGTAAAGAAGATGGGAGTTGGGGGAGAGAAGTCTAGGTATTTCTTCCAACCCCCCCCCCCCCAACACACACACACACCACCACCACCAGCTTCAGGTGGCATTTCTGGCCATGGCCCCAGCTCCCAGTGGGCAGCTCCAGCCCCTGAACTACCACCCCCTCCTCCCTTTGTTTCTCCAGCCTCAAGAGTAGTGGGGTTTTCCTGGTGCTGCTAATTATTTCGCCACACCACTCCCCAGAGCTCTTTCCACACTTCCAGTCATTCCCTCTACTGAACATGGCTTCTGTTCTGCCTGGTGCCATCTGGCTGGAGGGAGGCTGTCAGGGTCCCTTCCTGCTACCCCAGCTGTGGATGAGCGCAGGGTCTCCTTGGGCAGAGTGGCAGTGTCTTTTTGTTCTGGCTACTATGACAAAATACCAAAAACTGGGTGGCTCATAAACAAGAGGCCAGGGAGCTCTGTGGGGGTCTCTTTTATAAGATCACTAAGCCCATGTATAGGGCTCTGCCTTTATCACCTAAGCACCTTCCAAAGGCCCCACCTCCTAATACCATCAGCTTGGGCACTAAGATTTCAACATATGAATTCGGAGGGACACAGACATTCAGACCATAGCAGGCAGGAAACTGCTGAGCATGAAAGTGAGCAGGAGCCTTACCAGGGTGCCAGGTTAGTGACCGTGAACAGATCTGAGCAGCCCCCGGCAGAACCACGTGGATCCCAGGCCTGTTCCACCTTTGGTATGTGGGCCAGAGGCCCTTGCCCTCCACAACAGCAAGAAGAAAGGACAGTGGGAAACTCTTTTCCAAAATCAGTTCAGTCTGTATGAGCCTCTCTGAGCCTCTAAGCCAAAGGGTGACCGATGCCCTTGTGGACTCAAACCAAGGGAAGACAGGCTGTCTCAGAGCACCTCATCCCCAGACCCCGCGCTGCCTGCAACTCTACCTCCAAATGCCCCCAAGCCTTGCTCCAGGCTCTGAACAATGCAGAGTGTCTCCCTCCTAACCACCCCATGGGACACAGCCTGGTGTGGCCACATGAGGAGCAGGAGCCTTGGAGGCGCCTGAGTCTCAGGCTGGACTGAGGAGTTGTGAGGCCCGAGGCAAGTGCCCCAACCTCTCTGAGCTTCGGCTTCCTTTCTGTGAAATGGAGGTCATCAGTACCCACGGACACCCTTATAAATGTGAGTGCTCCAGCCTCTTCCCTTTTTTCCCTCCTCCTCTGGATCTCCTTAACCTCCACTGACCGCTTTTACCACCTAGCTGCGGGACCCTCATTTCTCAGAATCCTCCCAGCCTTGCAGGAGACAGTGGTTTCACCACCCTTCGCTTGTGGCTGCCGTAGGCCAGCTCCCCTGAGAGCAAAGGCCTCAGAACCAAGCGACTGGGGCCCCACCCTCTTTGTAAACACCAGTTGGGCACCAACTGACCTCAGGAGGAAAGTGCTCTACTGGGACCCTCCTCTTCCAGCCCTGCCTGCCGCTGGATGTTCCAGGGGAAGTGCCAGGCAAATCTGGCACCCTTGTACCCAGGCCGCCTCCGTCCTGGAAATAGTCACTTAGAGCTAAAGCTTTGGCTGAAGGTGGAAGGAAGTTAAAAGTCCCTGAGTGCTCCTCCCCTGGCCCTGGCTGGTTTGGCTCAGTAGTTAGAGTGTCAGCCGGAAGACCAAAGAGTCCCGGGTTCAATTCTGGCCAAGGGCACGTACTTCGGTTGCAGTTCATCCCCAGCCCCCATCGGGGTGGTGTGGGTGCCAACAGGTCGATGTGTCCCTCTCACATAGATGTTTCTCTCTCTCTTCCTCCCTCTCTCCCTCTCGCTCTATCTGAAGATAAATGTAAAAATATCCTCGGGTGAGGATAAAAAATTTAAAAAGTCCCTGAGTGCTCCTCTCCTGCCCTCCCGCAGCACCACGTTGGGCTGGCTCAGACAGGGCTGCTTCTCTCTAATTTAATTTTTTAATGATTGTGATAGATGTACCCAAAGAGGACTTGACTGTTGTTCTTTGTTTCTTAAAAATAAACACAGAAATGAAATATAAAAATCATTAATTAGCCCTGGCAGGTTTGGCTCAGCGGTTAGAGCGTTGGCCTGCGGTCCAGAGAGACCCGGGCTCAGTTCCCGCTAAGGGCACGTACCTCGGTTGCGGTTTGTCCCCGGCCCTGGTTGGGTCGTGTGGGTGGCAACCACTCGATGTGTCCCTTTCACGTTGATGTTTCTCTCTCTCTCCCTCCCACTCTATCTGAACAAAATATCGAAAAATGTCCTTGGGTGAGGATAAAAAATAAATAAATAAATAAATAAATAGTAAAAATTAAAAAAAATTTTTTAAATCATGAATCATTTTAATTCTAGGCAGTGGGAATATGTGTGTTTTTGTTGTTGTTGTTGTTGTTGTTTTTTATCCTCACCCAAGGACATTTTTCCATTTTTTGTTCAGGTAGAGTGGGAGGGAGAGAGAGGAAGAGAGAGAGAGAGAGAGAAACATCAACATGAAGGGGACACATCAAGTGGCTGCCACCCACAGGACCAACCAGGGCCGGGGACAAACTGCAACCGAGGTATGTGCCCTTAGCAGGAACCAAACCCAGGTCTCTCTGAACCGCAGGCCAACACTCTAACCGCTGAGCAAAACTGCCAGGATGGGAATGTGTTTTATTATTCTTTTGTAATATCCTTTTCTGTCTCTAAATAAAAACATTTTAAAATAAATAAGATGAATATAGGTTTATTGGGAAAATTTTTGAAAATACCAAGTATAAAGATAAAAATAAGAACCACCAGATCTCCCTTTTGGACCATTTATATATTGAGTTATCTTCTTCTGGTCCTTTTTCTTGTAAATATTTATGATATTATATCCTCTTATTTTTGAATTGAGATATGACTAACATGTAACATTGATTGCATTAGTTTTAGGTTTGTCTTATTCTTTTTATTAAAAAATGAATCATAATGTTTAATAACATTTTTTTTCTCCTTAACGGTATATTTTGAATCGTTTCCCATGCTCTTGAAAGTTAATATTTACGTTAGTAAACTTTTTTTAGTCTTTTTTTCATGTTACGATTAATAGGTATATTTTTTCATTATTGGAATCCATATGGATCTCATTAGGATCATACCATTTATACCTTTCATTATTTTTTTTATTTAAAAGATGTTACACTTCTGTTGTACAAAAGTTAGGAAATACAGATCAGCAAACAAAGACCATGTAAAATCCTTGTAGCTCTCCACCCTGAAATAACCTCTGCTAACACTTTAGTTTTAAATCTTCCTGTCCACTTTTCTATGTACATATGTGAATACATAAATACACATTTTAAAATAAAATTGGAATCATCCAGTTCATACTTTTTTTAAGTTTGAACAAAGCTATTCATTCTTCTTCACTTGTACTTTAGATACTAGGCTTATAGAAGTTACTAATTTTTTAAAATTTATTTTTCAATTACTGTTGACATACAGTAGTATATTAGTTTCAGGTATGCAATATAGTAATCAGACATTTATATACCTTGCGAAGTGATCACCCCATCAGACACTATACTTGGTTGGTCATACTGTTTTGTTTTGTTTTGTTTTGTTGCAGTTTTTAAACCAAGCTCTGGCCAGTTTTATTAAAGAAAATTTGGCATGATTTACTTTTCACCAGTCTGTTCTGGCATGCTTTTAATGATATCAGAATCACCTGGGTCAATGACAGCCAGTGTACATACTCTGCAGTATTTTCCACATGCTGTTCCCAATTCAATATTATTGCCACTGTAGTGATGGACACCAGTCTTGGCCAACATGGCATAGTACTCTATTTCAGATTTCCTCAAGGCTGGACCGTTGTTGGCGAGGATGATCAGTTTCCCTTTGCCTTGTCTAATCATCTTCAGAGTCTGCTTGTACCCCAGCACGTACTTCCCACTTTTCATAACCAGTTGAAGCCTAGAGTTGATTGACTCCAGCGACTTTTTTATCTTCTTTGCGGCCACCATTTTCCTGCCTTAGCATCGGGATGGTCCCCAACCAAGAGCAGCCGCTAAGATGGCCAGGCAGCAAGAAAAAAAAAAAAAAAAAAAGCGGTCATACTGATTTTAACTTGCATTTTTGGTTGTTTACTTAACAATATATCTTGCATTGATTAGGATGGTTTTAGCTACAAATGACAGAAAACCCACAGGACCTCAGAGCTTAAGTAACAGTGACTTAAACATGTTCATTTCTTTCCCTAGCAAATGCTGCCAGATGTAAGCAGCCCAGACTGGTATGGCAGCTCCCTGGCCATCAAGGACCCAGGCTCCTTCTAACTCGAGCTCTGCATCCTTAGCTCGTGCTATTCAGACTCAAGGCAGCTGCTCCAGAAGGAAGAAACAAAGTAGAGCCACTTCTCCTAAAGGATACCTGCTGGATTTCAGATGCATCATTTTGCAGAGCTAAGTCCCATAGCCCCTGGGAAATGTGGTGTTACCTAAGTAGGGGTCTTATTACTACAGCAAAAGGGAAGAACAGATATTGGGTGGCAACTGGCTTCTCTGCCACATATTACAAACATCATTCCATGTGTATAGTTTTGTATCCACTTTTTCCCTCTTTTTGATGAACATTTTATAACATAATGAAATATTCTTCAAAATTATTAAATTTTAATGGCTGCTTACTATTCCATAATACACATGTAGTATTGTTTATCCATCCATTGCCTTATTATTTGATATTTGGGTATTTTGCTCTGCTAAATACACCTCTTCTATGAGTGAAACTGTCAGAGGAAGAGATCCCTAACTTTTCTCTATACACTGTAACATTTTGCTGGAGAGCCGGGGTAGTATCTGCCTTGGGAGCTGGTTTACAGGACTGAGTTGATTTCTGCTAACAGATGGAGCTTTTTGCAATAGGCATAGCCTGCTGCTCCCATTGCCAGGGAAGTCATGAGAGTAGGCAGAGCCTGGTGGGCAGTACTGCCCAGGGTCAAGGGGTGGGGTAGGTAGGCAGTGAATGGAAACAGACCATGGACTCTCAGGAGCCAGAGGACAACCTCACCCTGGAAAAGCTTGGGGGACTTGATGGGGCCCAATTCATTCTTTATTCAGGCTCAACAAATGCCTTCTAAGTTCCCACTTAGGGCCAAGCCTGTGCCGGGCCCTGGGCATGTCTCAGAAAAGACATATTTTCTGCTCTCCAGGAGCTCAGTCAACTCTAAATTCTCAAATGTTAGAGTTCAACCCAGAAGTTGCCTAAAAAGCACAATCCTAGGGCCCACACCCAAAAGTCTGATGCAATTGATGTTGGTGGGCCTAAAATCTGCATTTCTTTCCATCTTCAAAGGTGACCCCAGTGAGGGTGATCAGGAATCATTTGGGGGGAAAAATCAGTCAAGGCTCTTGAAAGAAGTCTCCTAAAACAGGCAAACCTGGAGCCTCTATCTGCTGAGTACATAGCTTGAACCTCAACTAAGCCTTAGACTACAGCGAACTAAAGAGGATTCCTGTCAGACACACCTGCACCCAAATCTCAGTTCCAGACTCTGGTAACTGAGTGACCTCAGGCAACTGAGTTAACCGCTTCGAGCCTCAGTTTTCCCCCAAAATGGGAACAATTGTAGTGCTTCCTATGTGCAAATAAGCAATTAGTGCTAAGCAGAGTGTCTGGCACTCAGTCAAAGCTAGATATTATTATTAAATTAATTTATTAATTAAAATTGCCTCTAGGTAAGTAATTACAGCAAGGGACTGGAAACAAGGTATGTAATGACTCTCATATACAGCTTGACTCACGGTGGTTGGCATTCACTAAATGGTTATTATTATTGTTAATATCCTCACATCCATTTTCATTCTAGACTTTATCATCTCTGCAACTGTCTGCACCACACAATTTTATCCTCCCAAGAGAAATCATTGATTGCAGGACTCCAAAATGTGGCCTTGACATCTACCCGTAGTGCCTGCCCATCGTGAAAGAGATTTTTCTCAGCTCCTTCAAAGGACGTGCAAGCAACAGGCAGGTAAGATGAGCGTGAGTGGGACTCCCAGGTTCCTACCTGGGCCATTCACCCCTCCCTTAGAGGCAGGGAGCTGTGGAGGCTGGAAGCTGTTATGAAGTGAGAAGAGGCAGGGTCGCTGTTGATAATTACATTTTCAAATGCTCGAGGCTGGCCACGTTGCCATGGTGATGCTGATGGCTCTGAGCAAGCGGCAGCCTCTCTTGAGTTGTGAGTCAGGTTCAGCTTTATTTATTAAAAAAGAAAACCGATGCCCTGACCTGTGAAGGACAAAGCGAAGCTGCAGGTGGAGGCCACGGTGTCTACAGCTGGGGATGAATTGGCAGCACACGGTCCATCGGTCTCCTGACGTCAGCAGGCCCAGCTGGCTGCGGGGCCTGGAAAAGTCCACAGAGGTAAGTGGGGAGCCAGCATCTCAGACCGTGGCCCAGAAGAGGAAGCGCAAACAGGATCCCCAATGCTGGTTGAAAGCCACTTAATAAGAAGCAGATCTCATTTTCTCAGCTCTGGCCCAGGAGTCAGGCTCCAAAAGACTGCTCCACTATGGTAGAAGGATGCACAGGGCCCGCGGAGATGGGTATTCCCTGGCCCACCCACAGGTAAGTGAAAGCCCTGAGGTGACCAGAGCTCGCTGACCCACCCACCCGTGTGCACACACCAGCAATGCCCTCTTGTGAGGGGCAGGGTCCTGGAAAGACAGGGGAAACTGCAAAAACATTCTCCCAGGGCCAGAACTCCTGCAGGGAAACAGGTCAAGGCCGTAATGACTCCAGCAGATACCTCTGAAGGAGCCCGGTCTCGTGTCAGACCCTATGGGGAGGCTCACAGAAACAGTAACAGTGACATGCTGGATCCTTCTTCTTGAGCTTAGATACTGTCCCAGCATCCCAGACCTAGTGCTGGAGGAGCCCTTAAACCCGCTCATTTGTTTGGGTTCACTGTTGATGCCACTGACCAATGTTCTTCCTGGTGGGCCCACCTCCTAACCGGCTCTGGACTCCAAGCCCTTGTCTCTGCCCACTGCTTTCATCAGTTAGCAGAAGATTGGGTGCTGAAGTCAGAGTGGATGGATTTAAGTCCTCCTTCTGCACTTGCTAGCCCGTGACTGAGCCTCCATTCCCCCATCTGTAATACAGGAGCGATAATCATAATAGCATCTACTCACAGGGGAGCTATGAGGATGAAATGCTACATTTGCAAATGTTTAACGTAGAGCTTGCCTGGCACATAGTACGTGCTGGATAACTGTAAGCCATTGTTAACTTTGTTCAGGACCTTATCATATCCTGCCTGGATAATAGCAGCAGCCTCATAACTCCACCTGCTGATTCTAGTCTTGTTTGCCTCCAATCTATTGTCCACACCATAGCAAAGTGGTTTGTGGAAAATGCAATCCTGATCATGCTATTTGCCTCCATAAAATCTGCCAGTGACTCGCATTTGCTCTCAGGATGGCTCTTAGAATTCCGTAGAGGGGTCTCTGAGGCCCCGCGCGATCTAGCCCTTGGCTATCCTTTCCAGCTTTGTACCTCACCGCACCCTCCCCTCCTGGATAACTCTCAGCCATACCCAACTGTCAGCAGTGTTCCCAAGGTGCCAGGCTGTGCCATATCTCCAGGTATTTGCCATGCTGTCTCCTTTGCCTGAAATGCCTTTTTCTCTTTTTCTCCACTTAGCAAACACCTGCTCGTCCTCCAAGAACCACATAAGATGCCCCCCATACTGTGAAATCTTTCCTTCTCTCCCAAACCCCGCTCAGATTCAGAGCAGACTACGCCCTCCTCTAAGCCATTTTGGTGCCCTCCATAAAGACATTTATCACTTTCATTGAATTATTGTGATCCATGCCTGTGACACTTTTCAGCTTCTTGAGAACAGCACTGATTCTAATTAATGCCAGTATCCCCAGAACACACCACAGTACTATAACATTCACAAGAGATGACTGGAAATGAATGAATACATGAATATAGAAAAATGCCCTATTTATAGAAGAGGAAACTGAGGCCTAGATAGGAGTAGTGGCTTGGCTAAAGTAAAGGCCAGAAGCCCTGCAAGTCCAGGCCTCTCTGATTCCAAGAACTATGGACCATTCATTCATCCAACCATCACTTAGTAAGAGCAATCATACACCAGACACTGTGTTGCTCCCTGAGATACAAAGAGCAAGGAATAGTCCCAGCCCTCAGGAGCCCACAGGCAGGTGGGATAGAATGGCAGGTATCCAGGCAATCTGCACACCTTTCCCTAGGAGCTGGGACAGGAGATACAGAAGGAGCTGGGGGAATCTCAGGGGCCCCAATATGGATGGGGCGGAGGGAAGCCACTGTTTCTGTATCTTCTACTTCCCCTCTCAAACTCTGGAGGGCTGTTCCCACAGACATCAGGCCAAGGCAGCTGCTCTCCAGGTGCTGTCAACCCAGGTGAGCAGATACTACAGGACCACACATTCCCAACACAGGTGACATGACATGCCTTGCCCCATGGGGCAGGACAAGCAGTCACAAGGACACATTTGTGCCCTCAGGCAGTCGTGTCAAGAGCCATCATGGGAGCCAAGTAGATCGAACCAGACAGCAGAGCGCTTTCTGAACCTCACACTGCACGATTCTTTCACACGCCAGGTCTCCGTGAACCCCGCCCCCCAGGCGGACCAGGCAGCTATTGTTCTCTCCCCCATTTCCAGATGGACAAACCAAGACTCAGACAGATGCGAAGGGCTTGCCCAACCCCCTGCCTGGTCAGTGGAAGCGCTGGAACTGATCTGTCACTCCCGGAACATTCACTGGGCCTTTTGTCTGTGCCAGGCCCTCTGCTTCCTGTCACTGTCCCACTGACCTCATGGCAGTGCCTGGAGCCAAACAAGTGCCTCCAGTCTCTGACCTTTGCTCCTCCTCTTGCCTCTCCTGGACACTCTCCAGATAGTCACATGGCTAACTCCCTCCGTCCACTTGGGTTTCTGTCTCCTCACAGAGAAGGACACCACTGAGTCCG